CTAGTACCGATCTAGTACCTGACCATGGACCCATTCTTCACTGGCGGTTGGAGGCAGATAACTACGAACCAAGGATAGGTCAACAACATTATCCACAATAATCAGCCAGGCAGAAAATTGTTTTACCTTTGGAGAAATAAAACGCATCAAATGTTGAATTTTTTCACTTGAGTCGACCTTCGTGGAGGTTGCTAGTCAGGGACCGCGGAGACCATTTTAAAGTGCTGGGGCTAAAAAATCTTACCAATACAAAGAAACATTAAGTTCAGTATTTCGCCATTTATCTTGCATTTGCGTAGGCTACGAGCAGTCTCTCTTTTCTCTTGGTCCGTCGAGCAAAACGCCCGAGACACGCTCACAGACGCGTGCACTTCCCCTTGGAATCTGAAGAAAAAGATAGACTGCTCGCAGTCTAGCATTTGAGCGCCATCTTATTTACAACCTCAACAAATATAACATAAACGTCGTCACGTGTTATAGTATCCAGTATAGCCAATATGTTGAATAAACCTTCCTAAAATTGCTACTTTGAAGTTGTCAGCAGTGCCGAAGTTTCTCTTGCGGTCCTCATTGCTGGAAACAAACTCCTGTGCGACGTCAGCTATAGAGACACTGTCTGTTCTCAGCTTGTAACTATTCAACGTTACTACTAGGTTGCTAAACCTCTCATCACCCATCCTGGATCGACGCCACGTCTTCAGACGCCGTACGTACAGATGAGAATGAATCCTCGCCAGCAGCGCTGGTAATAGGATTTACAGCAAGCAGCTTACAGATAGTTTAACTGACTTCCTGGATTAGCTTCTTTTCTGGTTCTGGAAACTTTGACACCGCCAACAGGATTTCGTCAAAACATGATATCTTCTCCTTCCATAGTACTTAGTTGCCTAGGTAGCGCCCCTGTATCGCAACATCTTCCCTGTATTATGCTTCAAGAAACTGAACTCTGCCTCATAGTCGTCACCATTATCTATAGCAGCTTTAAGCAAAAGGGTCTCCATCTGTACTTAAGAGCTGAAGCTTTCCTGATTAACGCGCTGATAGATAGCCCTGACGATAAGATCAATAGCCTCATAATAGGCCCGTACAATGTGATCTTCAGCAGTTTGGGGATAGCTTGGTTCACCAGCACCAACCTTCAGTCTGGCCGGAGTGTGCCGTTTTCTTGGAAGCGTTGGTTCGCCAAGCAGGCCTTCACTCTTGCGGGCAACATTAGCATAGAATTGGTCGAAGCTTTGATCAATGCGAATCTTTGTGAGCGTCCCCTTTGTTAGATTTGCCAGGCGTTGTCCACTGACAGCAGCCATCTTAGTACCCTGAAGATCCTTAGATAGATTATCGGTGTGGCAATAAAGGTGCTGTCCAAGATGCAAAGCAGAGAAAAAGTCAAATCACTCCATTTGGGCCTTACATCTTATTATCCTTGCACGCACATCGGGTTGTAATCGTTCGGACAAGCAAACATCCCACTCTTCCATAGGGCAAAGTCCAATAATTCCACGGAAATTTTTTCCATGTCAACTGGAGTCCTATGAAATAAATCCCAGCGATAAAAGTGGTAGGGCTATAGCCCTACCAGCCCCTCCCCCTCCGCGGTCCCTGGCTAGGTTGGTCAGAGCGTATTCCGTAACTCCCAGTTGTTTAGCTAGATTGAAACAGGAGTCGGCAAGTGAGTCAAGGGTTTCGGCATTCAGAGTTGAAACAAATGTTAGACCTTGGTCTTCTCGCAAACTTTTTTCATAGAGTTCCTGTCCCACTTGACAAGCAATTTGACTTTTACCACAGCCCGGAATTCCTGATAAATAAATGGTGCTTTCATTATATAGTTCCTCCAGCTTGTTCTTGATTCTCATGACATCGATGGAACGTCTGATGATTTGGTGCGATGGCTTGTATGTAAGACTACAGAAAGACTCAACCTTAGAATGGATCTTCTGAGTAAGGGTTTCTACTTCTTCCTGCTTGGTCTGCAATGTGTTTTGGGTCAATTGTAACTCGGCGTTTAGATTTTTAACTTCTTCATCTTTCACTTTTAAACCAGCTTTAAGTCTATCAGCCTGTATCTTCAAGGTATTTACTTCTTCTGTGGGAGAGCTGCTCTGGTTTTAACATCCTCGACTTCAACAGTTGAGAGATTCAAAGATGTAAATGCAGCTATCACTCTTGCTACATAATTCTGGAATTCAGCATCAGTAAGTTCAGCCTCGTTTTTGTGAGCGATGTCGTTTCGAACTGTCGGAGATGGTCGACCTCTTTTCTGATTGTCGCACTCAGAGTGGTGACAATACTATCTGAGAATAATATCGCAAAAAGTAGACAACTGCAGTCCCACTTCCGTATTTCCCTTTTGAATCATCGTTAAATATCGAGCATCCTTTCCGCGGCTTTTTCCTGTTTCGTTGTAGTAGAAATCTTGTCCATTTTGTGGAATGTCTTTCCATTCCCCAAACGGAGTTGTCATGTAAAGGAAATTCCACTACCAAGTTGAAGGTAGTGTAACATATTCTGAAATAATTTAACTGTTCTGGTGTATACTTCATGGTGGTTCTGGTGTATAGCTCCGTGAAATTGTAGAAATGAGTTTGTCGCCTAGTAGCCTATGGGAAAGAATAGTGAAAGCCTTTTTGGATGAAAACCTGAATGAAGTAACGCTCTTTAATATTACGTTTACCTCATGGCCTAGAGGTTTTTTACCCTTAATCCCCCGATGTTAATGCCCATTAATCTAATTCATCAGTAGCTCGAAATGGGTGGGGGAGAGGGGGGGGGGGGGGAGAGGGGGTAGGAAAGAGGGAAAGGGAGAGAAGCTGTTAAGATACGGGTTTTCTCAGTGTGCAGGGTTCATGAGGTGTCCGACCTCCTTCTGAGCTAGAGGGTGTAGTCTCAAAAAACGTCTGCGAGACGCTAGCGTGATAGAGGTTGACAACCAAGCTTTATTCTCTCTTGTTGAACATTTTAATTCATAAAGCTGTTCTTAAATTTAACATTTAATGTGACTATAGAATGTTAGGAGTTCCTAACGACTGTTGCGCGAGGCGAGCATGTTAGGTGCGAGCGAGTGAGGTAAACCCCCGAGGGAAAGACACGTTCCTTTCATAAAAGATAAAAAAAGTCGTTAAGTCACGTTGCCATTCTAGCAAAATTTCTGGACTTCAACAAACCGAGATCCTGCAAATATGGCAGAAAAAAGAAACCGAAAAAATATTGACATCTACGCAGTCTGTGCACGATTGCACTCAGGAGCAAAACGGTAGTCCATACTTTTCTTTTCCATCGTTCGAAAATGCAATGGCCGTCGTTATCAAGATCCAGAAATTTTGCTACCACGGTAAGGGACTGTCCAATAATTATCAGGAGGGGGAACTGAGAAATGAGCTTCAGAGGGAAAATTATTATGTAGTGTCCTCCAGTTCACAAAAGCGGAATTAGTTCAGCGCCCCCTCTTGATCTCTTGGTAATTTTTACTGCCCCTTCCCCCCTTCCCCCACACCAAATATAATGTAACTGTAGAAGTTGAAAAGCTTGAGAGCCGTCTTCGCTTTTTGTTGTCTGACAACCCTGCTTGTGCTGGAAGGTTTCTCCGACAGGAGTACAGGCCAAAGCCCCATGATGACAGGACATAAGGAGATGCAAGACGGAGGAGAATCGCATCTTGGATAAGCTTCATGCCATCACAGAAAACATAACTAAACATGATGGCAGCTTATTTACCGAGGGTGGAAACTTAAGACTGGCCTAAATTGCCTTCACAATTTCAACAACGAGAAACGACATTATATCAAGTCTGGCGTTGAAAAAGATGTGTTACATCTTGTTGAGGATTTGGACAGAGTGATGGCTAAATATAAGGCGACATATCAAATTGGCACCCAATCTCGTACCCAGAGTCTTGAGGCTTTTCGGTCAGCGGGGCAACGCCGGGAAGACTCTGGGGACATCAATTTAATCGGTTTTTTTATTGGCTATGCCTTTTTTAACGGAAGTCGAGTACCAAAATACTCCGCCAGGATCCCGTAAAGTTTCCGCTCATACCCAAGAGCCAATGAAAATGCAGAGTCTGCCTTTTCAATGGCTCTTGGGTATGAGCGGAAGCTTTATGGGATCCTGGCGGAGCTAGTTTTGCAAGGGATGTTTTGCAGAAACACTTCCGAGAAACGATGTTTGTATTACTAAACCGCCAAGGATGAATGATGTTATATCTTTTCAAAGTCAAGTTGAACAAGTTTAGCGCTAAATAACTCATCTTGAGGCTTTTCGCCTATGTCGTCGAACCACGAAATTCAGTATCGATCAGTAAACAACCGCAACTGCGGACAAGGATAACAGAGCTTGCTCGCAAGCTAGCATAACAGGAGAAGAAAACGATCAATCCTGCGAGTTGATGCCAGACAAAAAAAGGAGGTTTGTGCAAGATACTATTTCTTCTGTTCTAGCGATCTTTTACGAATCTGTAGTTTTACACTCCCGATTTTATGTTATTAAAGATTCTTTTAGACCTTAAAGTATTCAGCGTTACTTGGCAAACGTAATTTAAGCCGAGGAGGGTTAGCTTAAAAGTTCGATTTATTATAACAGAGATGCTTCAAAAGTTTTATCTCATTTGGGCACAGGTCACTTCATATTGTACCAAGGTCTACCAAGTACTCCCCTTATAAGTCAGTTCAGCTATGTAATGACGTACGTTGATTTCAGGGATATAATATTTCCCCTTTATCTCTCGAGCAGGCTCTATTTTATGGCTGTCTGAGTAGATAAACGGGCCTTTTTTGAAGTCTTATTTCCATATGACAAAACAGCACTTCTAGTGCCCTATTATTTGGGATTAAGCTGATCAAGAATCCAACAAGGTCGATCTGCATGTTTTTATGTCCTTACTATAAAAGTATAAAACATGCCTTGAATAATTCAAATTAGGGAGAGGGAGAGGGAGGTTCAGTATAATAAGAAAAGTAATGGGGATGTCCTATTATAAAAACAAAATAATAAGACACTAAAAGAGTTAACAACCTATAAATTTCTTAATGAATGCCTGTCTTTTCCCACTAAAATACCCCTCCGTGCTGTGAACATGCATGCATAAGGAAACTGGTCTTACTACAAAGTTGGCTAATGTGACCATTGCCTTCAGGTTTTTACTTTTAAAAGACACGGGTCCTGGGTATGAGCTTGTTAGTGTTTCTAGCATCTTCTTATTCCATAATCATATCAGACAAAAAATACTCTGCAGTCAGTGGTTCATAGTCTACTGTTTGGAATGAGACACCCAATCAACAGCAACAGTGTTCTCCGCCTTATCAGGCGGTAACCGGTAAAAGTTGCGGCCTGAAGCAACACTGACTTCCTACCGCCTTCAAAGACCTCAAAGTTTACTAAAATTAAAGATTAAGTACTTTTAAAAAATACATAAGTTGTGATCTGATCCAATTCTCACATGCCACACGAAAATGAATAAATGTATGGAGAAGTACTTAAGTATACACCAGGCCCTAGTTGTTCAAATGTTGGATAGCGCTATCTACAGGATAAATCACTATCCAGCGGATAAGTATCGGGGAAACTAATTGCGCTATCCATTGAATAGAGATTTATCCGGTGGATAGCGATATCCAGTCTTTGAACAACCGAGACCAGAATACACAGCTGTTCTTTTTATGGGCCACACATTAGGGAAAGGAAACGTTGAAGATATTATTGGAATCAATCGTTTTAATTTGTTGTGTAAAGTAACAATTAACTGCCTATTTGCATAAAGTAGGTCTTAAAATGAGGGAATAACATTTTAGAGAACTTAGCTCCTAAATTACCTAGCAAGAGCGCGGCCATTTCCGCTTGTCCCCAGAAACGTGCACCTCTGAGGCGCACATTTTTTGCCTTACCTAGGCAGGGTAAGGCTGCACTTCACCCCACAGTAAGTCTTAGCCCTTGGAGACAGGTCTGGAAAAATATGTACTTCAGGCTGTGGACATATTCCTGGTCTCACCTGATCTCAGTACTCCACCCAGGTGGCCCCCATCCTGGTTCCCCTCAAGTTCCTAGTCACTAGGGGATATGAACCTCACTCCCTGGAGACTTAGTGGGACTCCTGTCCAGGGTGGGTACCCCCAGTACCACACTATCTTGCCTGGCTTCACTCCTTGTCCCCTTACCCCTAGATTCAAGCGCTTCCCTGCCACCAAAATTTTTTGCTCATTTACTATCTTCTGTGGTATCTTTCTGTTCGGTTTACTGCATAGAACTGTATGTAAAAGCTTCAACTAATCGAAGAGTTTATTAAGCTAGAGTTAATTAAGAATATTCTAACCTGCTTAATTATTATTGTGATTTCGAAAAAGTACATGACTGTCATGAATGATGGAATTTTGAGACATTAATAGACAGTGATCAATGTAATTAACATCAAAAGCAGTATACTTAAAAGATCTAAATCTTTAGCAATCAAAAATGTCTAAAAACATCTCGTGCTTTATCTAGAGCTTGTATCCATGAGGAAGTCATTTGCAAGAAAGCCAAAAGGATCATGAGCATACTGAAACTTGTGATGCAAAAAATTCTTTTACCATGTAAAACAGAGACCAAACCCAAACATAATGGATCAACTTACCACCTCCCCCCCCACCCCTGCTGAGTCTCATTATCTACTCCTGGAGAAATTAAAGGAGCTACATTATAGGGTGAATGTATTTGTCGCTATTGGCATACCTTATTTAGTTAACAGTATGCAAGCTGTGCATGGAATCCATACATGAGAAAACAAGTAAGCAAAATCAAAGCTGTGCAATGGTGCAGTACAGAAAGGTTTGAATATGCCTAAACTTACACCTGGACAGTCATGCAACCAAGCTTACATTATTTT